CTTCCCTAAGTGAGCGTTGGGCAGCCACCACAACCTCATTAGGAGGCTTGTCTGGCTCCGAGGCTGGAGCTTATCTGGGCCAGATCTGCCTCCCTGCACTGCCTGCCTGGCATTTAGGGGAGGTGCCTTCAAAGAGACCTTGCTGGGACAGAGGGGGCCACAAATGGCGTCGCCGCTGCTCTTGGGAGCCGGTTCCTTCTCTGCTGCCCGTGACGCCGCCTTGTTTAGACGTAAACAGAGGCCCCAATTGTTCCCTCTTGCATCACCTCCCTCCCTTCTGGCCTTCCCTCGGATGCTTTTGTGTTCCTTGGTGCTCACCTGGTCCCTGGTGGCGCTGGCTTCGGACGACCTTGAAATGGGACCGAGGAGGGCAAAGGGTCAGGGAGGTCAGGAGCCGGCAGGTCCGTCTCTCTGTATCTGAACGATAATCTTGGTCATTTGATTGCCCTTTTTACCCATTGTTGTCTTCTTAATTGTATATATTGCTTGTTTTATGTTGCTATGGCCATTGGCTAATGCAAATAAAGTTTCTCTATGTACAGTGATACCTCGGGTTACATAAGCTTCAGGTTACAGACTCCGCTAACCCAGAAATATTACCTTGGGTTAAGAACTTTGCTTCAGGATGAGAACAGAAATCGTGCTCCGGCGGCGCGGCAGTAGCAGGAGGCCCCATTAGCTAAAGTGGTGCTTCAGGTTAAGAACAGTTTCAGGTTAAGAACGTACCTCCGGAACGAATTAAGTTCTTAACCCGGGGTACCACTGTATCTGTCTGGGAAACGGGCCTTTCCTCCTGCATCTGAATGCTGGAAGATTCGGGACAGAGAAAAGACAGTCCTTTTGCACGTAGCGCAGAGTTGAACTGCGGAACTCCCTCCCACAGGAGACGGGGATGGCCGCTGACTTGGGTGGCTTTAAAGAGGATTAGACCAATTGATAGGGGAGAGGGCTATTGATATCCCTGTCTCCATGGCTGGAGACAACAGTCTTCTGAATATCCCTTGCTGGAAACCACAGGACTTGCTCTTGAGTTCGAATCCTGCTTCCGGGTTTCCCTTTGGGGTGTCTGCTTTGCCACTGCAGGATTAGAGAGCAGGGCTAGGAGGGCTCCCTCTGGCCTGATCCTGCCTCTGGGCTCTTCTTCTGATGTTCTGCTACGGCTAGAGTTTGGGTCAGCTTGCATCCTTGACTTCCTGGTTTTACCTCCTTTAGGCGAAGTTCTCCCGGTGCTGTTCTGAGCCCGCTCTGCTGCATTTATTGATTCTTTTTTCTGCATTTATATTCCACGTTGAGCTCCTTGGAGAAAAGGTGGGGCCATAGAATTGTAGGAAGGGAGACGCACAAGGTCATCCGGAACAACCCCCTGCGCTTCAGAAAATGAACCCAAGCCAACCTGCTGGATCCTCCCTGCCTGGGCTTTTACGTTTGGCGGGGGCTTGACCTCTGGTCCTGCTGGCTAGCTTCTGGCCTGGCTTTGGCACAGCAAGGGGCTGTGCGGGTTGGGATGGATGACCCCTGGGGGTCCCTGCCAGCTCTACAATTCTATGATTGGAAGGACGAGCCGGATCAAAGTGTCTGCGATCGACGAACATTAACTCTGTTATCTGGAGCCTGATCAGTCAGGCTGGATTCTGGAACATGCTTGGTTTTATCAGCGCTGCACTTTGGAGCAAATCCTGGAATGTGATTTACGGTTTTTCTATTCATTTCTGTAAGCCAGGAGGGCGGGCCCTTCCTCCGAAGGGAGCTGGCAGAGGGGAGGCTCTGGAGAAGTCTCTGCTGCATAAATGTCAGGCTCCAAAATTGGACATCCTGCCTGAATAAACAGGCTGGGAAGGAGGCCTTAACTCTTGCAAGGCGCTTGCATTTGAGTTTAGGGGGAAAGCGCCAGACATGAGTTTGGGGTGGAGTTTCCTTCCATGCTGCTGAGGGAGGGGGAGGCGTGGGGAGAGGGGAGGGGAATTGAGTTCACGTGTCCCCCCCCCCCCCCGCAGTCCCAGGAAGATCTGTGTCCTTTAGCAAAAAGAATTTGGCAAAATGTTAGAAGGTAGTCCTGCTCCAACCCTGAGGACTAGACCCATCGGCTGGAGGGTCTGTGGGGCTGGCAGCCTCCTTAGTCCTCCGTCTTGCAGGGAGTCCCTGCCCTGAGGTGCTTTCTCTCTGCTTGCGGGGGGCAGTGGCGGACTCTGATGGAAGGCGACACCTGTGACAGGTGATCTCTGGGCCACCATTTGGTGAGAGAGAGCTCAATAATTGAAGGACTTGGCGGAAGGGATGCATTAGGGAGGCTGGGCTATCGCCTTTCACACATTGGGCCTTGGCAGCAGTTGGTGAGACACACACTCTGCCCCCTCCTCCATGCCTGGCACCCAAGAGAGTCTGCCCTGCTGAGCTCTGGGGCCTTGCAGGGCAATGGTGGGAAGGGCTGGCATGGCCAAGGAGAGTCTTGGGGGTCTGTCTGTCCGGGGCACAGAAAATCATCGTGGAAGCACAGAATGGCTGAGTTGGAAGGGACCCCAGGGGTCATCTAGACCTACCCCTCGCAGTGCAGGAATAAATGCAGGCAGCAAACTCTCCTTCCTTGGAGGTTCTTAAGCAGAGCTGGGAGGGATTCCTGGGGGTTGGACTAGAGGACCCTTGAAGGTCCCTCTGTGAAGGGCTGATGGCAGCCCCACGCCCAGCCCCACCCCACAGCATCCCCTGACCGGAGCTGGGGGGGGGGTTATGCCCTTGCCAATCATGCTGGGGTCGAGCCTTGGCCCACCTTCAGCTTCTCTCACCAGGCAGCCCTGCGCTGGGTGCAGACTCAGCCCCAGAACGCTTCCAGGGTGATGTGAAGGCGTCACGAAGCAGAGGGTCCCTGAGCATGTGAAGAGTGCATCTGGCATTTGGGGGCACGGCAGCTGGAGGATGTGCTCTTCCGCTTGGTACAGGGCAGCTCAGTCAGTAAAGCATCTCCGGGTCGGGGGTTCAAGCCCCACATGGGACAAAAGATTCCTGCATTTTGGGGGTTGGACTAGATGACCCTGATGGTCCCTTGCAACTCTGCAGTTCTGTGATTCAGCTGGATGGTGCTCTTGTTTAGAGACATTCTGCGAGGGGACTCCTTCCCTCTGGGGTCCTGCAGCCACCAGCCCTGGGTCTCCCCTGCCCCCCACATCTGTTCTGCCCTGACCCCCTTGCCCCCTTCCTCCTCGTCTGCCCTGGGGCTGCGGGGGGGGGGGGAGCAGCCAGAGGCGGCGCAGGAGGAGCAGGCAGCCTCGCCCGCCGGGCCTTGGAGCATCGACTAAAAAGGGCAAGAGCAGCAGCTGACGGCAGCAGCCAGGAATCTGGGAGGCAGCCCCTCGGAGGAGGACTCCCTGCAGGGGGGAGAAGCAGCTGCTGGGCCCGGCTGGGGGGGTGGCAGCTGTCTCAGAGGCCTGCAGGTGTGGGCTGGCGCAGACGCCTCTCTCCCCTCCCCATGCCAGGAAGCCCGGAGGGTGGGGGGTCTTCCTTGGAAACAGCTTCTGGCTGGGCTGTCATGGAAAACCTCCCTTTTGCCTAGCCCTTCTCTCCCCCCCCCCCCCCCAGCTGCTTCCATGGCATATGGAGAGCTGCAGAGCCGGGGGGGGGGTCAGTGGCAAAGCTACCTTCTCTGGCATTAGGAGTGATGTACATCCGGGGGCATGGCTGGTGCATGTCCCGGGGGGGTGGTGTGCCACCTGCGTTGGGTGCGTTGGGGGGTGCACAGCACACGGCACATGTCCTGGGGCATGCACAGCGAGTGCCAAGCATCCCAGAAATGCGTGGTGAGCACCGAGGGTCCCAGGGGTTGGGTACAGGGGCAGCTGCGACGTCACCCCCCCCCCCAGTTGGCACCCAGGGCGGACCGCGCCCCCGCCCTCACCTTCGTCCACCAGTGGGGGGAGGGAAACTAGGCCAGCATCATGTCCTCAAAGTGGTGTGATAGGAATTTTGAGGTCTTAGATATGTGTTAAATGTTCAAAAGTGTACCAGCCAAGCATGTACATAGATTGTATGTATGATGTATGGAGGGGTGGTCTTGAGCTCCAGGGCAGGGAATTTAAAATGTCTATATAAGGCCTTGCGCGCCATTGTTCTGGGTTCCTCCTCCTTTCCTGTGTGTGAGGGGAGCACCCTGTTGCAACAGATCAATAAAGATCAGGCTTACTAGCTGCTTTGCTTCTCAGTATTCTCTGGTTGGCCTCTGTTATTCTCTCCTACCAATAGGGAACCCACGTAAGGACTCTATATGGGCTCTTGGATACCCCATAAGGGGAAAAGGGCAGGTTTTGTTTACGACAGTGGCCAATGACTCCCCTCTTCTGAGAAGCCTACAAGCCTATACGTATTTTACCAAAGTAATTCTTGAACTGAAATGTTGCTGTATGTAGGTTTTATTTTATTTGTTTTTTTATCTTGCATTTTAGAAATGTCCATCCAATTGTTTTTTCCTTTAAATTTTTTGGGGCCCCCAAGAGAGTGGGGCCCTAAGCTACAGCTTGTTTAGCTTATACTCAGGGGCGAACGAAGGTGTCGTGACACCCAGGGCGGCAAACTGCTATGTACAGCGCATGTGCGGCTTCGCTACGTACGGCGCATGCACCAAATGTAGCAATGCCGCACATGCACTGTACATAGCAGTTTGCCAGCGGCGTCATTCAAGCGCCATACGGATGCATGTGCGCATGTGCAGGGTCATTACGGACGTATGTACAGCGCATGTGTGGCGTTGTTACGTATGGCGCATGCATGTGACACTGCACATGCACTGTACATAGCGGTTTGCTGCTGGTGCTGGGATCCTCTGCTTGCGGCTGCAGCTGCGAACAGAGGATCCTCCACATGTGGCTGCGGTGGCCTTCTTGTCACCCCCAGACATGGCACCCAGAGCACACCCCCCCCCACTGCGACTCCACTGCTTATACGTAAATCTGGCACTGAATGCAACAAATGTCAAAAGCTCCCCCCCTCAAGGAACGTCTCCGCTCTCCCTGCAGGTGAGGCATCGCCAGTCGGGGCAGATCATGGTGCTGAAGATGAACAAGCTGATGAGTAACCGTGGCAACATGCTGCGCGAGGTGCAGCTCATGAACCGCCTCTCCCACCCCAACATCCTCCGGTGAGGCTGCCTCGTGGGGGTGGGGGGGTTGGATTTGGGTGGGGGGCTCTGGCCAAAGGGGGTGCTCTGTCTGGCCTGAGGGGGTTCCGGGTGCAGCCCCCCCAACCTCTGCCTGCCCTAGGTCTTTTGCAGGGACCTCGAGGAACATCTCCTGGGGGACTCTGGCTTCAGTTCAAAAAAGCCAGCGCTTCGTTCCAGCACAGGAGATGGAAAGGTCTGGGGAGTTGGGGCTTTTCTTGTGAAGTACATAGAAGGGGGGGGGGTCTCAATGTTAGAAAGTGAGGGTTTGAGTGGGCTGGGCTCCTTCTATCCCCCCCAAAACACCTGGAGTTCTGTGTCCTCCTTCCTAGTTGCCAGAGGTGCTGTTCCCATTTTACAGACCAGGGACCTGAGGCTGACGGTCACTTGCTCTTCTGCCCTGGGCAAGGAGTCGGAGGGGCGTGGGTGCCTCCCACCCCCAGGGCACAGTGCGTGAGGGGAGGGTCTCCCTGCGTCCTGACGGGTCCTTCTGTCTCCCCCTCTCGTTCCAGGTTCATGGGCGTCTGCGTCCACCAAGGCCAGCTTCACGCGCTGACAGAGGTGAGGCTCACCTGCCTGCCCGCCTGGGCCCAGGAAAGGTGGATGGGGAGCCACTGCCATCCCTCGAAGGGAGGCTGGGGCCAGAGAGAGAGGCTGGGTGGGGGCCGCCTAGAACTGTAGGGTTGGCGGGGACCCCCAGAGGCCATCTAACCCACCCCCTGCCATTCCTCCTCCCTGCAGTACATCAACGGTGGCAACCTGGAGCAGCTGCTGGACAGCCCCACCCCGCTGCCCTGGCCCGTCCGCGTCAAGCTGGCCCTGGACATCGCCCGCGGCCTCCGCTACCTGCACAGCAAGGGCATCTTCCACCGCGACCTCACCTCCAAGGTAGGCATGGGGTGCCCTGGCCCCCTCCCCGCCCACCCGTCTCCTTCCTCGGACGCCTGTGACGCCTCTTCTTCCTCCCTCTGCCCAGAACTGCCTCGTGAGAAGTGAGGACAACGGCTACACGGCCGTCGTGGGAGACTTTGGCCTGGCGGAGAAGATCCCCACCTACAGGTGAGGCGGGTGGCCCTTCCTGGCCAGGGAGAGCCATTTGGGGGTCGGGGGGGGGGAGTCCTGCTGGGCTTCGGCTGACCTCTTTCTCCTGGTCCTCCCCCCCTTTCTGCTTCCTCCCCAGTGACGGGGGCGAGAAGGAGCCTCTGGCCGTCGTCGGCTCTCCGTACTGGATGGCCCCGGAGGTCCTGCGTGGGGAGCTGTACAACGAGAAGGTAGGACTGTAAGGGGGGGCCCAACGAGGGCCCATCTAGCCCCACAGCCTCTCCTCACGGGGAGACCACAAGCAGCGCACGACGGCCACAGGGCTGCCCTCCCAGACATAGTCCGAATTGCAGAACTGGAGAGTTGCAAGGGGCCATCGGGGCCGTCTAGTCCAACCCCCTGCAATGCAGGAATCTCTTGCCCAACACAGGATTCAAACCCACAACTCTTGAGATTAAGAGTCTCAGACTCTTCCATCTTCAGAGGATATGTAGCCCTTGTGGCTAGTTGGACTGGGCAATATATCATCCAAAACCGGTTTGAAGCTCATATCATGATATCAGTTTCATAATTTTTGACCTAGTAATACCGGTATATTGTGAATGAGTGTGTGATTTTGCTGTGCAAAAACCACAATGCCGGAGAACCCATGAAGCCAGCTGATGCCTCTGCTTGCCTCCATCCTTATTCCCGACATTGTGGTTTATCAGTGCATCATGATTAGGTAAACGGTGTTTTCATGCACTCCAGTTTCCGTCACACTGTCCCGTTGTGCCAGAAGCAGTTTAGTCCTGCTGGCCACACGACCCAGAAAGCTGTCTGTGGACAAACGCCGGCTCCCTCGGCCTGAAAAGCGAGATGAGCATTGCAGCCCCAGAGTCGCCTTTGACTGGACTTTACCATCCAGGGGTCCTTTACTTTGTGATGTCTAGCTGATGATATATAATACAACATTGACAACCAGATATTGCCTAGGCCTAGTGGCTGATGGTCAAGAATAGGCTCACTCCCCCGAATAATAATAATAATAATAATAATAATAATAATAATAATAATAGGTTGGGTTTCCCCAGCCACTCTTTTAAAGCCGTCCAAGTTGGAGGCAGTCAGGACGTCTTTTGAGAGGGAGATCCCTTGTTCATAGGCTGCGTGGAGGAATGTCATAACGTTGGAAGAGCCTGCAGGATCGGGCCAAGGGTGGCCCCTTGAGTCCAGCCTCCTGCTCTCTCATAGCGCTCAACTAGATGCCTCAATGGGAAAGCAGCAAGCCAGGCCTGAGGGCAAGAGCAGCACTGTCTTCTCCTGGGGCTTCCAGCCTCTGGTCTTCAGAAGCATCTCTGTCTCTGACCGTGGAGACAGAGGAGAGCCATCCTGGCCAGTGGCCCTCGAGAGCCCTTCTCCTCCTCCTCCTCTTCCTCCTCCTCCATGAATTTCTCTGATCCCCTTTCCCAGCCAGAGAATTAAGGGGGGAAGTGGGGTGCACAGGGTCAGCCTGGTGTTGGGGGGGGGAAGCTGACCAGGAGCGTGAGTGGGTGTGGGGACTGTGGGCCTGGACCACAAATACCAGGGGGTATGGGGGGCTCTTCTTCTGTCCCTGGTTTCCCTCTGGGTCGGGGGGGGGGCTGGAGCCTCTTTTTGCGGGGTGTGTGTGTGTGTGTCTCCCCCTCCCCTGAGTGCGCAGGGGCCCTTCCTGCCTCACTGCCTCCCTTCTCCCATCCCGCCAGGCTGACGTCTTTGCCTACGGCATCATCCTCTGCGAGACCATTGCCCGCCTGCCGGCCGACCCGGACTACCTGCCCCGCACTGAGGTAAGACCTTCCCTCCCTGCAGGGGCTACTTCCTCCCCTTGCTCTGCTAGGCTCCTTTGGGCAAACCGCTGCGTTTCTTCTGAGCGTCCAATGGGGTCTTCTGGAGGCCCTCCGAGACCCTCCTGGCCTCATGGGCACAAGACAGACTGGTTTTGTTGTTGTTTAGTCGTTTAGTCGTGTCCGCCTCTTCATGACCCCCTGGACCAGAGCACGCCAGGCACTCCTGTCTTTCACTGCCTCCCACAGTTTGGTCAAACTCATGCTGGTAGCTTCAAGAACACTGTCCCACCATCTCGTCCTCTGGTGTCCCCTTCTCCTTGTGCCCTCCATCTTTCCCAACATCAGGGTCTTTTCCAGGGAGTCTTCTCTTCTCATGAGGTGGCCAAACTATTGGAGCCTCAGCTTCAGGATCTGTCCTTCCAGTGAGCAGTCAGGGCTGATTTCCTTCAGAATGGATATTGGGTTACACCAAGGATTCTGGGCCAAGGAGGCAAGGCTGACCTCCCACCCAGATACCCAGATCCGTCCAGGGCTCCTCGCTCAGCGGAGAGTAGAAAAAGAGTGAAAAACTGACATCTTTGGATTAGGGCATGAGACAGGCACTTTGGCCTGTATCTTTAGCTGCTCAGCCATCTCAGAATGTGTCTTAATCCACAAATAAAACCTCAGAGCTCTGTGTGGATTTTCTCCCCCACCCTGACATCTGTTTATGACTGTGCCCAACGCAGTGTGTGTTGCCTTCCATGTTCCTCTCTCTAGCTGAGCTGTTCAGTCATGAGGAGGAATCATTGTTTGGGGCAGGCAGGGGGTGTTTTTACGCCCCACCCCACAGCTTCACTGGGGGTCTCTCAGCTCTTTTCTGCTGTCCTTAATATGTTCTGTCGAGACGCAGTTTGGTGTTCCTGGCCAGATCTGTCTCCTCTTTCACAAATGCTCCATTGGGTTTTTGCTGCTGTGGTTGCTCTGTTTAGGAAGGCTGGATTTGCACAGATATCACTGGCAAATAAATAAACATAATCATAGACGGGTCATCTAATTTAATGTTTGATCTTTTATTGTCCTTTTAATGTTTTGTTGGGAGCCATCCAGAGTGGCTGGGGAAACCCAGCCAGATGGGTGGGGTATAAATTATTATTATTATTATTATTATTATTATTATTAATATTTTGCAACCCCCTGCAATGCTGGTATCACAGCTAAGTAATCCCAGAGAGATGGCCACCTGACCTCTGTTTTAAAACCTCTGATAAGGAAAATTCTGGGTTGAGAGACTCCTCAACAGCCCAGCTCGTCGGGGTACCAGTCCCCTGCGGGTCCCTGCGGTCAGCAAAAGAAGGAAATTCCAGCCAAGCAATTTAAAGCGGAACAGCAGTCAGTAGACTTAGCTCCTTCATTGTTGCGCAACAGGTTCAAACAGCAGCGAGTGAACCCCCAACATGGGGTGACATTGACTTTTAAAACTTTCCCACCATATCCCAGAATACAGTCCATACAGCATTATCGATACATCATTGCTACATCACTAAAACCTCAGAAAGGGGAGGTTTAGCATAGACAGATTTGTCAGGGCAAGACCCAAGTATGAGATTAGCATAAGGCAGATACTTCTTAATTACCCACCACCCAAAGTACAATAGAACTTCCTTTGCAAGTCCAGTGATGAGATTTGGTTTCCCTTGGCCAACAATCAGCTTAGCAGTTGCCACCTCTGGGTTCTACCCTGGGCGGAGTGTGAGGTGGCAGGGAAAAGAGTCCTTTTCCAAGGGCAAAACAGCTTTGGAATGGAGGAAACTGGCAAAGGGATTGATTTTTATATGATTTTTAAAGCTAGGTATCTTCTCTGAGCTGTCAAGTCGAAAGGATACATTAAGGCATAATATTTGTAACATCTAACAACTTTAAAGATGTGGCCCCTCCTGTAATTTCCTTAGCAGCTCAAATGAAGGAGAGCTCACCGCCTTGCAAGGGAGCCCATTCTACTGTCAAACACCTCTAACTATCAGAAAGTTCTTCCTAATGAATTAAATTCTGCCCCCCTAACCCCCTAGAGATGGGGCGCGAGTGGCGCTGTGGGTTAAACCACAGAGCCTAGGACTTGCCGATCAGAAGGTCGGCGCTTCGAATCCCCATGACGGGGTGAGCTCCCGTTGCTCAGTCCCTGCTCCTGCCAGCCTAGCAGTTCAAAAGCACGTCAAAGTGCAAGTAGATAAATATGTACCACTCCAGCGGGAAGGTAAACGGCGTTTCCGTGCGCTGCTCTGATTTCGCCAGAAGCGGCTTAGTCCTGCTGGCCACATGACCCGGAAGCTGTACGCCGGCTCCCTTGGCCAATAAAGTGAGATGAGCGCAGCAACCCCAGAGTCGGCCACGACTGGACCTCATGGTCAGGGGTCCCTTTACCTTTAACCCCCCAGAAGAAGTTGCTCCGCAGGTATTCCTCTCCCAGCCTCTGTAGCGCAAATGCATCCCTTCCTGGCTCCCTCCCAGGAGACTTGGGGAGGCCCTTAATTAGCCTATTACCTGTGCAGGTGAGGAAGGAGGTGATAATTGGCCCTCCTCCTCCACCCCCTGAGGAATGCTGGTCTCCCAGCTCACCTGGGCTGCTTTGGATAACCTGTTCATGCAAACCAAGAGAGCTTTCTCTCCAGGGAAAGGCGGAGCTCAGGTGCCCAGGCAGGGACTTTCCCAGCACCTGGTGTCTTCCAGCTGCTTCCGACTACAACTCCCATCAGCCTCAGCGCTGTCATGTGACCAAGGCCTCTTGCGGTTGGGGGGCACCAGGGGTCATCTCTCCTGGCTGCCTGTGGGATTCATAGTGCAGGAATTTTGCAGGAAAAGACTTCAAAGCATCTTTGGGGAGCTTTGGTCCTCAGATGGTGAGGGGAGAGCAAAGGCTCCTTTGAGAAGCAGGTCTTCATTTCGGAGACAGATGACGCCCAATATCAGTTTCCAGGGCCTGTATAATTTGGATATTTTTGGAACAACTGAGGGCCAAACTAGACATTATGTTCAACGTCATAGTTTGGCATCATGGGACATACTTATTTTTAAAAACGACTTTGAACAGTATATTGCTGGAGATGTGTCGGAAATGAGGACCATTGCATGAGAACAGCTTCCCCCTTGAGTTGTCGAACTCTCTGCCCGATCCTATGAAATCCCTGCTCCCCCCCCTGCTCTTTGAACCTGGAGGGGAGTTTCCACTGTTCCCTCCCTTCCAGATATAGCAGCTGCAGTGGGGGGGTGCCCTTTTTTGCACATCTCCAGCGATTCCCCTGGAGGAGAGCTGTGCCACTCGCTGCATTGTCTCTTTCCGACAGAGAGGGGTTTTTTTGGGGGGGGCACTCAGTTGCTGACTGCAGTTGAGCAGTTCACTTTAAGGAAGAAGGAGAAAGGGTCTGGGTGGGGGGGTTCTGCCCCCCAAGTCCCTCCTTCATAGGAGAGCAGCCCGTGCTTTGTCTCAGCGGCTTCCTCCACCCTTTGCCCTCGGTGCTTCCTGGGAGTCCGGCCAGGCGCTTCTCCGCTCTCGTCTCGGTTGCCGTGGAGCCGCCTGCCTCAGAACTGGGCCCCGGCCCCCTCTCTCCTGGGCTGTGTCCTAATAATAGGTTGCCCTGGAAGGCGGCCTCTGGGTTGGCCGTTTCCGGAATGACAGCTCCAGGACCCAGAATCTCTCCTGGGTGCCAAGATGGAGAGGAGCTTCTGCCTGGCCGTGCCGGGCAAGAGAAAGGGGCTTGGGGACAAAGCCCCCTCCCCACCTCTAATTCCACAGCAGTCTTGACTTCAAGGGGAAGAAGGCAGGAGGGCCACAGAGAGACCCTCTGGGTTTTCTGCAAGACTTTCCCTCCTTTTTGCTTCCTGAAATTCGTTCTGATTCTGCAGATAAAATATCTGGGAGAGAATTCAGCAAGATGTGTTGCTAGTGGGCGAGAACGGTCCAGATCCAAGGATCCCCGGGGGTGCACCATGTTGTAAACAGAATCTGCTCTTTTCCCCTTATGGGGTACCCAAGAGCCCATATAGAGTCCTTACGTGGGTTCCCTATTGGTAGGAGAAAAGAACAGAGGCCAAGCCGAGAATATTGAGAAGCAAAGCAGTTAGTAAGCCTGATCTTTATTGATCTGTTGCAACAGGGTGCTCCCCTCACATGCAGGAAAGGAGGAGGACCCAGAACAATGGGTTCCAAAATGACTCCCAGGCTGCTCACCTGGTCCTTCGGGGGTACAGTTACCCCATTCAGGACCAGGGAGTCCTCCACACCTGCCCGCCTCCTGTCCCCCCAAAACAGGTCTTCTGTCTTGTCATCTAATTTTAGAGTGTCAGCCCCCCACTCTTGATGATTGTTTGAATGTTGCCTGTGGACGCCATTGTGCAGATAATACCCCGTCCCCAGAACTGCCCCATCATCCCAGAAAGATGCCTGCTGCTTGAGATAAAGGCTGCTGTCCTTCCGCCTCCGGAGAATGCCAGATGTGAGGGGGGGCCTCTGCCAGGCTGAGCGCTTCCCCTTTTGGAGGGGGGCATGGAGAGAGGGGCTGGTCCACCCTCTGGCCCTGCGGAGAAGGCCCTGCTTGCCACCTCGTGGCCAGGAGCTGCGTTGCACAGATCTCTCTCGGAGAGGGAGGGGCCTGCAATAGCTCCTCTCCGGCAGGATGAGCACAGAGCTGAATTCGTTTCCTCCTCTCACCAATACTAGTGATCCTTCCATCATTTTTGGCTGGGTCTGCACTGACCACTTAGCTTAGCTTCTCCAAATGCATTTCATGTTTGGGTCAAGCAGACAGGTGAAGGGCGACAGAGGCTTATGAATTGATTTTAGAATGTATTTCAATTAATTGATTGTGATTTTATGTAAACTCTGTTATTTTACTGTTGTTATCTGCTCTGAGCCCGGCTTTGGCTGGGGAGGGCGGGATATAAATAAAAATTTATTATTATTATTATTATTATTATTATTATTATTATTATTATTAGTCTCCAGCAGGCTCTCGGGCAGTGGTGGCAAAACTTTTCGAGATTGAGTGCCCAAACTGCAACCCAAACCCACTTATTTTTCACAAAGTGCCAACACAGCAATTTACCATATTTTTCTGTGTTGTTGAGCTATTTTGGGGTAAGGAAGGTCATAAGAACTTAAGGAGAGATGGCTGGATCAGGCCAAGGGATCCACCTAGTCCAAATGCCTGTGCGAAACCAGCAAGCAGGATTCGAACACAAGAGCCCTCTTCTCCCCTCCTGCGGTTTCCACCGACTGATGCACAAAAGCATTGCTGGCTCCAACCGCAGAGGCCGAGTCCAGCCCTCCTGGCTAGTAGCCATTGCTAGCTCTCTCCTTCTCCATGAATTTGTCTAGTCCTCTTTTCAAAGCCATCCAGGCTGGTGGCCATCACTGCTTCCAGTGGCAGTGAGTTCCAGAGTTTAAGTATGTACTGGCTAAAGAAAGACTTTCTTTTCTCTCTCCCGACGTTCAGCCTCCTTGACTGTTTACAAGTTCTAGGGTGGAAGGGAAACTCTTCATTTTCTCCATGTCATGGCTATTTTTTTTAAAAAAAACTTCTTTCATGTCACCTGTTGATCTTTTCTCTAAATTAAAAAAATCCCAAACGCTGCAACCTTCCCTTTAGGGGAGTCTCCCCACCCCCTGGAAAATTCTGGTGGCCCTTTTCTGATCCCTTTGCAAGCCAGAAATACCCTTTTTCGGACGAGGCACAGCCTTCCGGATGTGGCTGCAGATTTGTATAACGGCATGATGACATCGACAGTCTTCTTCTCGATTCTTTTCCTAGTGATCCCCAGCATGGGCCATTTCCTGCAATTTAATCTTTCTTGGTTTTAAATATTGAATCCATTCACCACAAAAAGAACTGCAGTTTAATCTTTATTGATTTTAAATATTGGGAACTGGCCTTTCTCGCGGTGCAACTCACCTCCCTCTCCCTTCTTCCCTGCAGGACTTTGGGCTGGATGTGGCCGCTTTCTGCAACCTGGTGGGAGCCGACTGCCCTGCAACATTCCTCCAGCTGGCCTTCCACTGCTGCAGCGTAAGACACCCCCCATCACACCCACCCACCCCCATCACTGAATGAGCCTTCAGGCTGCCAGACCCACCTGCCAGAACGGAGCCTCTTTGCCCCTCCTGGCCCTATACGCCTGCAAGAGAATCAGCCCTGGCTGGGTGTGGTGGTTTTGCAGGGGCTGGAGGGGGGCAAATCCTGAAGAATACAGAGTCCCAGCCATGACCATGAATGCATATCACTGGCCTTGAGAGCAGCTTTTGGGTTCAATTTAAAGGACGCTTTCCTGGCTACTTCCCTCCCTTGAGAGCCCTCTGCTTCTAGCCTCCTGTGGCAGGAAGTTCCACCGTTTAGCTACATGTCGCCCCAAAAACTACTGTATTTGTTCTTGTATAAGACGATGCTTTTTGCTAAAAAGGGGGGGGGGTTGGGTGTCGTCTTATATACAGATAGTGAATGGGGGGGGCGTGCAATTAATGGCAGCAGCAAGCGGGAGATTGGCAGTGGCGATTGGGCGGGTGTTTGGCAGCTGTGCCCAGGCGGGCAAGCAATTGGCGGCTTTGGCAAGTAGACAGGTGGGCTGTTGGTGGCAGCGAGTGGGCAGACAATTGGCGGCTGCGGTGAGGTGTGTGATTGGCAGTGGTGGGCAGGCAGGTGAGCGATTGGCGGAAGTGACCTCCCCCATGTCCCCCAAAAGCTGAACAACTTAATTTTGGGTTAAAAGAAATAGGGGTGGTCTTATACACGGAAAAATACAGTACTTCCCTTTAGGAGGGACTGAAGTTGGTGAGAACTGCGTACCATGCCCAGAAATCTGTCCTGCTCCCAGTCTCCGAGGGGAAGGCAGCCCCCCCCCCCCCGTGGCAGGCTGGACCCCCCGCTTTCCGTCCCATAGACCCCCCTGGTTCCTGGTTCCAGGGGAGGCAGCGGCCCAGCAAGCCCCACCCCAGCAAGGGAGCCTTGGGGCTTTGTTTTGCAAGTGCCCCTCCCCACTGCTGCTGAGCCAGGTGCCTTCTCCCCTCCCTAGATGGAGCCCACCTCAAGGCCCTCCTTCCTGGAGATCACGCAGCGCCTGGAGGGCATCTTGAAGCAGCAGCTGGCAGCCAGAGACGCCCGAGACGCCCTGCAGAGCGACAGGACCAGCATCCCGGGGAGCCCGGCACTCTCCCTCCATGGTACCCTTCCCAGTTTGGCTTTCCATTCCTGCGTCACAGCGGGTTGGACTAGATGACCCCTGAGGTCCCTTCCAGCTTTGCAATTCTTTTTTTTTTTTTAAAGATAATCTTTATTAGTTTTTTAGTTGCATACTGTACATACACATATTACATTACATTTTACCTTTGAACTTGCTCCTAAGAGCTGGCTTCCCTCCTTCCTTCCTTCTGGCTTTTTTATGTCGTCTCTAACTTTTTGCATTGTTTTCAGCTCTGCAGTTCTATGGTTCTAAGCGCACAGCCTTTTTGGGACAAAGGCATTGGACTCTAAACAACAGCTTAAAAAAGATTCCTTTGAACCTGCATTCTGCCAACTGCCTTGTCTTGAAAGGGGGGAAAGCGGCGTATAATTATTATTATTTTTGCAAATTAGTATTCTATTTATCTGCAGGGACGCGGGTGGCGCTGTGGGTAAAAGCCTCAGCGCCTAGGGCTTGCCGATCGAAAGGTCGGCGGTTCGAATCCCCGCGGTGGGGTGCGCTCCCGTTGTTCGGTCCCAGCGCCTGCCAACCTAGCAGTTCGAAAGCACCCCTGGGTGCAAGTAGATAAATAGGGACCGCTTACTAGTGGGAAGGTAAACGGCGTTTCCGTGTGTGTTGTGCTGGCTCGCCAGAGCAGCGATGTCACGCTGGCCACGTGACCCGGAAGTGTCTGCGGACAGCGCTGGCCCCCGGCCTCTTGAGTGAGATGGGCGCACAACCCTAGAGTGTGGCAAGACTGGCCCGTACGGGCAGGGGTACCTTTACCTTTACCTTTATTCTATTTATCTATTACATTCACACATCACCTTTTCCTCCAATGAGTTCAAAGTGGCTTGCATATTCCTCCTCCGCAACAAGCTTGAGAAGTAAGTTGGGCTAAGCGCCAGGGCCTGCCTGCCAAGGTCAGCTTCCTAGCTGAGTGGGGATTCGAACCCTGAGCTCTCCCAGCTCCTAGTCCAGCACTCCAACCACTGAGCAACACTGTAGTGTCGTGGTAATGCCACGCCTGCTCCAAAGGACTCCTGCCCTCCCGAGTAATGTGGGTCCAAGCGACAGCCCTCACTTGGTCATAGAAGCATAGAAGGGCAGAGCTGGAGGGGAACCCAAAGGTCATCTAGTCATCATGCTTTGAGGTCTCCCTCTGGGCGACCCCCTCACCCCCCTTTCTCCCTCTGTTCCAGACAAAGCCGCCCAGGACCCCATGCTGCCCGCCATGCCGCCCAGCCTGCTGGACCGGCCTCCCGTGCCCCCGGACCAGCGCCTCTCGCGCAGCCAGTCGGACATGGTGCCGCCCAGGGCACCCCAGGACACCCCGCAGCGGGTCAACCCCTTCTCCCAGCGCCACGACCTGCAGGGCGGCCGCATCAAGCTCTTCGACACGCCCAGCAAGTCTCTGATCTCGCTGACCTTCGACCTGCCGCCCCCCTCGCCCTTCCCGCCGGGCACCCCCGTCACCCCGGAGCCGGCCGTGGAGGCCCACTGCGACTTCTCTGAGCCGGCTGCCCTCGCCCGCAGGTGCCGCTCGCTGCCCGCCTCCCCGGAGATGCCCCGCCGGGGGGGTCCTCGTCCCCCCCAGCCCCTCCTGTCCCTGGACTGCAGCAGCCTGGAGCGCCCCCTCCGCTCCCCTCCCTCCGGTGAGCTCATGGACACCAGTCCCGACAGCCCCCCCTGCGCCCTCCCTGCGGAGCCGGCTGCCCCCCTGGCGCCCTCCGTGGCCAACGGCAGCTTCATCCGCACGGCCGTCTCTGGGATGCAGCCCTGGCCCTCCAACGGGCTGCTCTTGAACAACAACAGCAAGCCCCCCAGATGGGGAGGGGGCTTCTCGGAGCTGAGCGTGCCTCCGCCCGGCTCGGGGCCCCCGCTGGAGCACGCAGGATCGGCCCTGGCCCTGAGCGGAGGGGGCAGCGTTGGGGTGCTGGAGCAGGAGGAGGTGCTCAGCTGCCCCGCCTGCTGCCTGGGGCCCTTTGGCTTCAGCTTCGCCTCCGTCTGCCACCGGCCCCCCGCCAGCGCCCCCGCCTACCAGAACCTCAACTGCGAAGCTAAGAGCCTGCTGTGCCCGGAGAGGCACCACAAGGGCCCGGTTCTGGCAGAGCCCAGCCTCAAGCTGCCCGAAGCACAGTCCTAAGGCGGGACACACAGAGGGCCCCCCTGAGCCCGGCGGGGCAAAAGGGGGGCTGCGGACCCACGACGGACCCTTTGGGCAGCCTCAGGGTGCTGCAGCGCATTGAAGGTGGCACAGTCGGTGCCAGCGCTAGGCCGGCTCTCAGGGCCTGGCAAAGCGGAGCAGCCTGTGGGGCCATGTTTTTTGGGGGACGGGAGGTTAAGATTCCACCCTGTGGCCTTTTGTAGCAAAGGGGCTTCCCGCTGCCTGGAAACCCCCCTCCCCACCCCTGGCAGGAGCTGTGGGAAGGAAGGGGGGGTCCCTTCCCATGAGCCAGGCGAAGTGCAATAAGGTGGCCGCCCCACGGACCCCCGTGTGGTTGGACTGGGGAGGTGGGGGCCACACACCAGCATCCGAGAGACCCCCCCAAGGTTTCTTTCTGGGTGGGGGGCTTTGCCCACCCCAGTGCAGTGCCTCCCTCTGCAAACCCAGGCCTGGTGAGACCTCCTGGTGTGGGCTGGAAATAGTGGCCTGGGGACCAGGGGGTCTTGCCCCCCCAATAATACTTGCCCTGCTTGTTTGGGGGGGGTGACAGAGGAGAAAGAGACTCTAAGGACTGGGGGCGGGGTCAGGAGACAGAAATGGGGGGGCAGGGAAGTGTGCTTGTTTGCGTGTCACATTTGGGGACTAGGAAACTGGGAGACACAAGTTTGGACCTGCAATGTTGGGGGGGGGGCTCAGCCTCCCCCCTGGGTGCTCCTGAGCTGTACGAGTGTTGGAGGGGGGTGGGCAGGCAGGTGGGGGGAGTTGGGGGTGGAAACTGGCTTCTGTTCCCAGCACTTCTCTCCTGCCCATGTGCAATAATGATGAGTACTGATTTCTGGCTGCATCTCGGCCCCCCCTCCTGTGCGAGGCTCAGCGCGTCCCCCCCGACCCCCCTATACTCAGTGCCCCAGTGGGATGCATCTGCATTTTTAATAACGACAAATGCTGCTTTATGTATTCAGCTTATTTAAAGTGTTGGAGAAATAAAACATGATGGCGGTCGAAACGGCCTGGTTTTTGCCCAAAGCGTCCTGGGATCTCGGATCTGGCCGGTCAGGGGGCTTCAGCAAAGGGCTGGGGCTTTGGCTTGGTCTCCATCTTCCTTTTTTGCTCTAGAGAAAAGGCGAGGAAGAAGCAGCGCAATAGAAGTTTATAAACTCTGCATGGCATGTGAGAGTGGAGAGAGAAAGTTTGCCTCCCTCTCTCATAACACGGGACACGCAGTGAAGCTGGATGTTGGAAGGTCCTGTGTGAGTGTCTGGAGCATAGCTGCCAACCGTCCCTTATTTGGTGGGAAAGTCCCTTATCCCAGGGCTGTGTCCCGCTGCTGTCCCTTATTGATGATGTCCCTTAAATTTCCCGGGTTTCAAAGGAAGCAGCTCCTCTCCCTCCCTCCCTCCCTGCCGGCCAGGGAGGAGGGAGGCTCCAACTGTGTTGCTTGGCTGCGTTGCTCACCCAATAAGGAGTCTAAGAATGACTGGGGGGTGGATCTTGCATACCTTGTGCCCATCAAATTGGCCGCGTTGCCTGGGGATTCGCCTTTGCTCAGCGCTTCCCAGCAGAGAGGTGACGGTGGTTTCCCTTGCTGCATCCCCTTTGCCGGGTTGCTGCGCTGTGGGAACCACCGCTTGAGGCTTCATTTGGCTGCTGGCTGGGCTTTCTGCCTTTGGCTCGGTGGGGCTCAGAAGTCGAACATACCTGTGCCCAGAAAATCCCTTATTTTGGCTGCTGATCCCTTATTTCCGAGGCTGCTGGTCCCTTATTTTTAATTCTGTAAGTTGACAGCTATGGTCTGGAGGCAGTTGGAGGATGGATGGCAGCTAACAGGCTGAGGTTGAATCCTGACAAGACAGAAGTACTCTTTTGGGGGGGACAGGAGGCTGGTGAGTGTGGGGGACTCCCTGGTCCTGAAGGGGGTAACTGTGCCCCTGAAGGACCAGGTGCGCAGCCAGCCTGGGAGTCATTCTGGACTCACAGCTGTCCATGGAGGCGCAGGTCAATTCTGTATCCAGGGCAGCTGTTTACCAGCTCCACCTGGTACGCAGGAGGAGACCCTATTTGCCCACAGACTGTCTCACTAGAGTGGTGCATGCTCTGGTTATCTCCCGCTTGGACTACTGCAATGCGCTCTACGTGGGGCTACCTTTGAAGGTGACCCGGAAACTACAATTAATCCAGAATGCGGCAGCTAGACTGGGGACTGGGAGCGGACGCCGAGACCATATAACACTGGTCTTGGAAGACCTACACTGGCTCCCAGTACGTTTCCGAGCACAATTCAAAGTGTTGGTGCTCACCTTTAAAGCCCTAAACAGCCTCGGACCTGTATACCTGAAGGAGCGTCTCCACCCCCATCGTTCTGCCCGGACACTGAGGTCCAGTGCCGAGGGCCTTCTGGCGGTTCCCTCACTGTGAGAAGTGAGGCAGAGGGCCTTCTCGGTAGTGGCACCCGCCCTGTGGAACGCCCTCCCAGCCAGATGTCAAAGAAATAAACAATATCTGACTTTTAGAAGACATCTGAAGGCTCTTTAGGGAAGCTTTTAATGACTGATGGTTTAATGTATTTTTAATCTTTTGTTGGAAGCCACCCAGAGTGGCTCTGGGAAACCCAGCCAGATGGGCAGGGGTATGAATAATAAATAATAATAATAATAATAATAATAATAATAATAATAATTATTATTATTATTATTATTATTATTATTATTATTATTATTATGTCCAGGACAGGCAAAAGAAAGCCCTTCTTCATGCAGTGCAGTGTTAAAACTGTGGAACTCCCACAGGAGGCAGAGACGGCCACCAGGCGTGACCAGGCTGGTCCATGTCCTGATGTCAAGGCCTGTGTTAAGATTAGGGCTGTTCAAGGAATTTTGCTGCCCGAGGATGAGATGGCACCTCCTTCCATGCCCAAGATCTGATGGGACCAACAGCTGGATTGGACTTTGCTGCTTCCTGTGGGGCCACATCCTTTCCTGCACCTGACAGCAGCATGCCAAGAGGCTCAGGGCAGGCAGCTCACACAGGCTGGCCCACTCCAGACACACCCACCCATCCGCAGCCCAAGGTGGCTGCCTCTCTCAGCCTTGCAAACGTGATGGTGATGCTGCCAAGGAGCGTGAACAAGGGATGCCCCTCCCCGTGTGGACAGGTGAGCATGTTGGGAATCTCAGGTGAGATCCCCACACAGTGGAAGTTGCTCCCAGTACCAGTCACCATGCAGCAGCCGAGAAAGTTTCAGATAGTTTACTGTTGCAGAAGATAAGGCTGCGTCAGACAGTTCCAAATGTTGATACAGCTTGTAGGCTTTTGCAGATACAGATACACCTACAAGTACAAATGATCTCCGTTGCTCCAAGTTGAGCCATTCGAGACGTAGCATTGGGCAAGCAACACAAATAACAGACAGACAGACAGGCAGGCAGACAGACAGACAGACAGACTGCAGACTCACAGACTGACACTCCTGAGCTGACATGCATTAATTACAAATATAGATGGGGCACTGGGCTGTTATCATAGCAACTGGCTTGGCTGACCTTGCACCTGGGATTAGCTCATCCATGGGGAGATTTACATTCATGAAGGAAAGTGACTCCTCATGTCCAGTTGTTCCAGCAGATCTCTGAGGCCAGAGCAGCTCCAGAAGTGCCGTCCCTTCTTCGGAGTCCACCAGTTCAAGGTCCTGAAACGTCCCGATTTGTGCGGCTAGGGCCTGCAGTGGCCTCTGCAAATTCCAAGCATTAAATGGATGCCCATGAGGAAGATTTCCTGGGTGGCTAGCTAAGCAACAACGGACCCCAACACAATATTAGAAATACATTCATGAGAAGAACGAAATGGTTTTTTTGTGGGTTGACATTTGTTCCCGTTCAGAACAAGCAGTAAATTTCCTAGAAAAAGCAGCAGGAGAAAAGAAACAAAAATCCCCACCTTCTGGACCCGTGACTTGAATATCGTGGGACAAACATCATCATCATCATCATCATCATTTTATTACTTATACCCTGCCCATCTGGCTGGGTTTCCCCAGCCACTCTGGGCGGCTCCCAACAGAACACTAAAAACAGAATAAAACTTCAAACATTAAAAACTTCCCTAAACAGGGCTGCCTTTAGATGTCTTCTAAAAGTCAAAACAAAATAAAAAAATTCCTTCCAGTAGCCCCTTAGAGACCAACTAAGTTTGTTCTTGGTATGAGCGTTCATGTGCATGCACACTTCTTCAGATACACTGAAACAGAAGTCATCAGACCCTTATATTCATTCTGCCCGGACGCTGAGGTCCAGCGCCGAGGGCCTTGTGGCGGTTCCCTCATTGCGAGAAGCAAAGCTACAGGGAACCAGGCAGAGGGCCTTCTCGGTAGTGGCACCCACCCTGTGGAACGCCCTTCCAGCAGATGTCAAAGCGATAAACAACTACCTGACATTCAGAAGACATCTTAAGGCAGCCCTGTTCAGGGAAGTTTTTAATGTATGATATTTTAGTGTTTTTTGGTTTCTATGGAAGCCGCCCAGAGTGGCTGGGGAAACCCAGCCAGATGGGCGGGGTACAAATAATAAATTATTATTATTATTATTATTATTATTATTATTATTATTATTATTATATAGAGTGAGAGGGTGGGGAGGGGTATTACTCAGAAGGGTGGTGGGAGATGGGGGATTGGCTGATAGGTGTGGTAAACCTGTTAATGACTGCAATTGGTCTTACAGGAAAAAGCAAGGGGTGAGATGGCTAAGAATAGCTTTATCATGTATAATGAGATAAAGGTCTCCCAGTTCTTTATTTCCTTGACATGTGATGGGAAGTGGGGGGGGGGCTGAGTTGCAGGAAGAAAAGAGTAGGAATAAATGCAAATGGTAAGAATTGGAAAGAAGCCCCCCAAGGATCGGGGATTGGGACCTGTGGTTTCCAGCTTGCTCATAACTGATCCAAAGTTAGCAGTGAGGTGACCAAGTCTGCTAATGACAGGAAGCTGTTCAGGGTTGTTGAAAGAGCTGTGAAGAGGGGCAAGGAGACCTGTCCAAACTGTGCAAATGGGAGGGGAAATGGCGAACGCCGTTCAGTGCAAGCCAGGGTCAAGTGATGCACTTTGAGGCAGAAAATTCTGGTTTCATGTACAAGCTGGTGGTTGTCTGAACTGGAAGCGATGGACCAGGAGCGAGACCTTGGGGTCACAGCAGAGAGCTTGTTGAAGATGTAGACCACGTGTGCCGTGGCCACGAAAAAGGCAAAATCTCTGCCGGGAGTCATTAGGAAAGGAATTGAAAACGAAACTGCTAATGCCATGAAACTGCCATGATACAAATCTGGTGCAGTGACTGCATGTGGAACACAGTTGTAGTTGCCACACCTGAAAATGGGTATTGCTGAGGTGGAAAAGGTTCAGAAAACAGCAGCCAAAATGACCGAGGGGCTGGAGCAACTCTGCCTCCCCTAATTCATCTCTTACCTCTCAAGCAGGAAATGGTTGCTCAGGGCTGGCTGTCTTCTCACAAATGTACGGATGTGGCGTTTCTTCAATATCTACTGAGATGATTCCACTCTTCAGTGTTCCAAACTGATAATCCCATCTCTGACTAAGTCTTTCACTTCTGAAAGGTTCAAAAAGCAATTTATGAAAGAACTCAAGGGACAAAATCCACCCTAGTTCTCTCTCTCTGCACAATGGGCTGCTCCCTCTACTGTTAGCGGCACCCAAATCTCCAGGGCTGGTTGTAACCCCACATGGGCAACCGACTGCAGAAATCTACAGCTGTAGAAACGTAAATTGCAACTTATTGTGGAGAAGTGGCAGGTGAGAAATGAGTTGGGGGTCCCTAAGCTGCTACATTCACATGCTAAAGGGAAATCCTTGGGCTCAAACAAAGACACCAGCCAGGAGTGTAGAAGCAAAACAGGAGCCTGCAGGCCTGGTCTTTAATCAAAGGCTGTTGCAACAGGACTCGCACCCACCACATGGGAGAAGCAGGAAGAAGCCCTGAACAAAGGGATGCTTCCT